CTGCAGCTTCACAATATATCTGAATTTACTATATATGACATTTTATCTGGTTAAGATACAGTTTCTTCTCTCTGTTATTTCTAGCACCAGTTTTGTCCATTTCTAGATCTGCATTTCTTTAACTTCTTTAAGCATTAGTGAGTTGTTTACAGCCATGTGGTCTCCAGTGCCAAGTCTGTTCCTGTTACAACAAAATCAAGTAAAGCAAAGCCAGAGGAAGGTCAGAAAGAGTTCAGACAAAGTCAGCCTAGCAACCCTTAGACTTTCAAAACTTATAAAGCCTGTGGTCTATCAAAGCCTGTTAGCTATGATATAACTGTGTCATAATGCTGGGCTACAAAGTAACTGATTGCTGAGATTGCTGAGATTGATATTACTGGACGGTACTGGTGAGATAATTAACCTGATCAAAGGCGTAGCTAATCTGTACATGACTAATGCTGCTGTGGAGGGCTGAGACTAATCAGTAGCACTTGGTTTTTACAGGTAAAACATCCGTGATATAGATTTCACATCCTAAGTTTATGAAGTTCTCGAAAAGTAAAAGGTGTTGCACTACATTCTAGGATAAGGATTGCCATTATGAATCAGGCCTGTCATACATGCCTTGGCTTATAGCCAGCATCAGATGCTTTGGAGAGCAGTACAAGAAACCCCAAGGTGGGCAATTACGGAACAACTTGTCCACATGGAAGGCTTCTTCCTAATTTTCCACAGTTAAGGATTTGCTTGTTTACTGATGCATGAAGGCTTATAAAACTTTAAAGTTTGGGGTTTTTTACTCTCCAACATGATTGTTAATGTTGTAATTTTTCACATAAATGTGAAGTCAAACTTAGAGTCCTAAGCTTTTGGCACGAGTGATTTCATGTGGTACTGAGTACCATAGCTTAACAACGCAGTTTGATAAAAACTAAACTATTTTATTGTTTGTTTTATCTGCACTTGCTGCATTTCAATTTCACTGAATGTACCATTGCTTTTCTTTAATTAGAAGAGTAACTCTTTGTATTCCTCGATCACCCACAGACATCTTTGAAAAATAGGTAGGGAAATTTAGACTCTCTCTTTAAGCATCAGACTTTTCCCCAGTGGAAAATTTCTGGTTTCTCAGTACTTTTGAAATACTTTCTACTTACTAGGTGCGTGAAGGTAAAGAAGTACTGATTTTTAAAAAATCATGATGAAGACAGGGATTCCCATTTACACAGTTGATTTCATTGACTTTCAATATTCTCTGTCTGATGCATCAGCCCCCTAATTGGCCAGTTCAGTAGAAGTAGTGCTTTCCTCCAAGGTCAGTTCACTAAACAAGCTGGGAGTTTAGGAGCTTCTTATCTATGTCTACTAGAGTGTCCATGTTAATGCTTCTGTGCTGTAGATTTTCTTACTTGCTCCTATCATATGAAAGTGTAATGAAATAGCAGCAACCAGTCTATGCAGGCATGTTGTTAATATTAAAAGACTAAACATTTCAAGTCAAAGTTTCTTCCCTTTTCTTTACCTGTGATTTATTGTCTGTCATTTCCATTTTGAAAGAAAACTGATCTCTAAGATTTTTGTCCACTGCTGAAACCCATTTCAACAAAACATAGTGATTTTGTATCAGCAGTATAGAACCCATATGCTATGACAGTCTTCTTTTAAAGTCATCTGCTTGGATGCATGGTGTTTTCTGATGGGTGTGGTAAACTGAGGCAAGGAGTAACTGTGACTTGTTAAAATTCATTTAAAGAAACAGGGACAATATCATGGAACTTCTTCACTGACCTGTAATTCAGATTCTAGACTATTTTTCTGCTCTCCGTAGTATAAAATAGCATTTCCTATGGTGTTTTGAATCATCCCTCTGCCTAAAGATTTATTTTAAATGCTATTTTAATGTTTATTTTAAAAGGTTTTCATGTGGATTTTTTTGAATGATATTTTTTTTTATTCTAGTCCATTTCTTTAGCAGCTGGTTTAGTATAGTTTCATTCTCCTTAAAGAATGAATTCTTTGTTAATTTACACAGTTTTGACAGTGTTGAAGGGTACTGAGAGGACAGAGGAGAAGCACAACATATTAGGTTGACCCATATTTTTACCAGAGTGGTTATATTCTTTAGAAAGCATTTTTAACCAGTCTTGTTTAAAGTGTATCCATGCACAGAATCTACTGTGTGAAGTTTTGATCCAGCATTACATAGGTCATTTCAAATCTGTTTTCTTCAAATTTGACTTGAATTCTCTGGTTTGTTTGGATCCTACTGCTTACAGTTGTCTTTAAAAATTGTGCTAAATAATTGCATTCAACTGAAGAGACGAAGGCTCCAAGGAGACTTTATTGTGGCCTTTCATAAGGAAGATACACACTTTTTACCAAGGCTTGTAGTGACAGGACAAAAGGTAAGAGTTTTAAACTGATAGAAACAGATTCAGAATGGACATAAGGAAGAATTTTTTTATTGTGAGGGTAGTGAGGTACTGGAACAGGTTGTCCAGAGAAGTTGTGGCTGTCCCATCTCTGGAAATGTTCAAGGCCAGGTTGAATGCGGCTTTGAGCAATCCGGTCTAGTGGAAAGTGTCCCTGTGCCTGGCAGCAGGGTTGGAACAAGGTGATCTTTAAAGATACTGTGCTGGTTTCAGCTGGTTTCCAACCCTAACCGGTTTTGTAAGTCTACATTTTCATTTATTGTTCATATTTTCACATTTCGTCTTGTTACAAAGGAGCTATTAGTTATTTTGGATAAGCTAAAGCAGACAAACTAGGTAAATTAGTGAACCTGAGCTATCATTCTAAAACTGGAGCATTGGGAGGATTGGGAAGATCACTTTTCTTAAGTTTGTCAATTTCACTTTAAAGTGCATAAAGAATTAGGCCTTTTGCCTGCAGAAACCTATGCAGCAGACCATTTGGGGCCTGGTGCTGACTAATACTTTTTTCCCAAGAACACTTCTCTCGGATAGGTCTTGGTGGAAGGGGAAGGCTGAGAAGAAAGAGTAATAGGAAAAAGGTAATGGTAAAAGCACAAAAAAAGTATCTGTTTAATTTTGCCTGAATGAGGTCTTGCCATTAAGTTTAGAATGTTTTCTACAGGGTAAAAGATCTTTTCTGTCAGAATAGCCCCTAAAGACTCCATTCTTTGTTCTTGGAGAAATTTAAATATACTTGCCCTGCTCTGAACAGAAATTTGTACCAGATGGCCTCCAGAGATTTCCTCGAAGCTGAATTGTCCCCAACATGGGACAGTATTCAGCAGTCATTGGTCACTGGCATACCTTCAGCAATAAAATGTATGAAGTGAAATCAAAGGAGCAAAAAATCTCTTTCTGTTCTCAGCAAATCCCATGTTAGTTGCTATGCTAGGACAGTGTATTTCCCACAAATCACTACCAACTAGTAACCTGACTAGGATTTGTGACATAACAAAATTACAATGTCATGTAAAGATGGAAAGAAAAGTGGAGTGCTGCTGCTGTAGATGTCGTTGTCAACAGGAAAAAATGGATCATGTACAACTTCTCTGTTCTTTATAGTATGCAGCCTTTTCTCCACTGAATGGATTTTGGAATCTAAAAGCTGGTTGCAAGCTGTTTAATTTTCTGAACAAAATGGGTCCTAGAGAGATAAATGGATTCAAATAGTTCAGCAAGCCTTAAAAGAAAGCAGACTGAAAAAGAGTTTTATATGAAGAGACACCTCTATTTAAAAAGACAAGAAACCCTGTTTAAAAATTGTCTTGAAAGAAAGACTTTTGAAACCTATGTCTTATGCATAAGACCCCATAATTAAAACCCTGAATTTTGTATTTAAGGTTTGGAAGATTCTGATAACAAGGGAGTAATAAAGATGTCATCAAAAAAATTATTTTCTCTTTGGCTGAAATCAGTTTTGTGTCACTACAGGCCTAAATTATTTTCATGAATTCGTGGTATCATCAAACTGTGGATGGTTGAAAAAGCTGAGGAAGACTTATTGCTTTAATGATAACCTTGAGTAGATTGTATGAGTGAAAGTACGTGAAAGGGTTATTTACATGTGACTTCAAGCCTTTTTTTGGAGGGTTGAGTTATATCAATTTGTTAGGAATTAACTCCCATATTACTCCCATCTTGCAGTTTTGTTATAGATAAGTTTGTGCTAAATACCCATTCTGCTCAGTGCTTTATTGTAAGTGTACTGGTGTTGAGCTAATGAATACTAATGGATCAGAGAGTTTTGAGTGCTTCACTGCCTGGCAATACATCTGACACTAACCCAGATTTTTGCCTGCAACTGTCAGTCGGCCCATATTTGCCCCAATGACACAGATTTCTTGTCAGATCCATGACTTAGATGTTGGGTCATCACCACATAAATCACCTGGGTAAAATAGATCAAGACAGACTCAAAATTCATTGTGCCATTAAAGACAGATATCATCTCATAAAATACATAACGTGTCAAAGCTGACATAATGTTCACTGAGAAAGTATAGCCCACCTATTTACTAAATGGAATAAATGAAAAGAGGGAAAAGAGAATTAAACAGGCATCTCTGCTATCTTTAACACAGGAAAGGAGAATTCAATTTTAGACAGTAGGTATAGAACTCCCCTGCACTTTCCTGGTGATTCATTGCTCTCTTACAAATTTCCGACAGCTGACAGCATCACCATGTTACGGCAATCTCTGCATCATCCAATCATGGCTCTTGAGCTATGAGTTCAGCTCCAGCCACTGAGCATTTCACAGACACCATCTAACTGCTCTAACTAGTCTACTACTAGCAGGATTGAGTGAATAACATAATAGGTATTTATAGAATAATGTATGCATTTACACATACATTTGCTCAGTCATCACTTCTCTGGAGGCACTTAAACTCTCCATTATTATAATCACTCCAAATGAAATTTGTGTCATTTCAAAGAGGTTGTTGGGGGTGGAGTGGAACACTGGGAACCCTCAAATTCCCTCCTGGGAGACTCCCAACAGAATTTCAGAGCCCGCAACCCCAGAGGGGTTTGCCAACAGGCAAATGGACCATGGCAGAGCCAGCATTGTGGCTCCCAATGAGCAGCCCCTAGGCTTCCCTGATGTTCTGGCAGCATTTTGTCACGTTTTGTCCATCCTGAAACCTTCTATCCTCAAGGTAGGAACCAACCCTTACTGCCTGGGGGCAAGAGTGGACATGACCCATGGCAATTGTTCCTATCTCTCTTTCCAGGCTCAGGCAACCTATGCCAGCTGTCCATGCAGGAGCAGCCCTTCCCTGCAGCCTGGACACTCCAGGCAGGGGTGGTACCCCATGCACTGACAGCAGATATAGCACCTCAGGCATCCCTAGCATCCCTGGTCCTTGGCATTTTTGGGGCAAGGGCTCATCAATCCTGTGAGAGCATACCTGCCCTCACCTGGGTGAGGTATGCCCAGTAAATGTAATTTACAGAGAATTTTTCAAATATTAGGGCCATATCTCCTGTTTTACTTCCTGTAAGCAAGTCTCTCCCCAGTCTGCAGCCCTGTCCTGCTGGCCAGCAGCTCACTCTGCAGGGATTGCTCCAGCCACAAGCTCTCCAGGTGTCTGGCACAGAGCTGGGGCACAACAGTGATGGGGCTGGCTCAGCAGGTGCCCTGGAGGGTCCCCTGGCCCGGCACAGCTGTAACTTATCACCCACAGAGGGTTCAGATGGCTCCATGTGGCTGCTTCTTTGACCTCTGGGTCTTCTATCTGCAGTGGACAAGCACCAGCTTGCTTCCACCAGCCACCTCCGTGCTCAGCCACTGCACTGCATCTCTGCTGTGTGCTGTCCTGTGGGGCCCCTGGGCTGCAGGACCACTCTGGCCTGGGCAGCCCCTGGGAGCCCCCAGAACCAACTGCAATGCTTCAGGCTTCAGAGAAGAAAGCTGTCCTAAACCTCTGCAGTGCAGCCACTGTGCTTTCTGGGCACCAAGACATGGAGAGACAGTTGATTTCTCTTTCTTTTTACCATTTGTATTTCTCCTTTTCTACAACTGATTGGTATCTGGTCCCAGGAGATAAGGAACATCTCTAAGTCTTAGTGTTCATAACTGCCCCTTGAAAAAGCTTTCCAGGATTTGGTTTTTGTTTGGGTTATAAAATCAATTGAGATTAACAAAGTCCTAATTTTATCTGGTGACTTTGACTATCAAAAGCATGTTAGTAAATTTTAATAAACAGCTTCAACTCTTCAGCTAAACAGAGATTTTTATGTTATATAGCTGAGGATCTGGTATATAACTTCATGCAGATTTCCTTACAATATATTTCAAAGCATGTAGTAAGAGTTGAAGTAATTATTTGATACTTTTCTTTTAATAACGTGTGCCTTTTCTCCCAGTCACAGCTGCTCATTAGTTGTCCCTGATCTCACTAAAATTTTTTAGTTTTCTAATATTGTGTCCAGCAATCTGCACAGTTTTTGCTTCTGACAAATACCTTCAGGGTCCTTGTTTCAGCTGCTGATGATATACAACAGATCACTTAAGTGACCTGGAATGTTGTTTCTGTCCTTTCTAAAGAAAAATGCCGTATTAAAAATCTGAACCTTTATAAGCAGGAAAAGGGAGAGGATTAAAATAAGTGAAAAATATAATGAATTCCCATGTTTCTGAATGGGTAAATCCCTTGCTCTTTTTGCAAACAGTCATTCACCAAAGAATCATATGAATAGTAAACATTTGCCCTCACATTTTGGAGCATAAGGAAACCATAGCTGTGCTCTGACATGTTATAGGTAGAACCTGACACAGCCTAGTTTTGTTCCCCCTCTGTGATTCAGAGCAGAGATATTCTGCAGTCCAAATTGCAGATCTGGTGCTGTGGCAACAAGTAATCATGGTATGATTACCAGGGTATAGGAAACAACTACTGCATAGGCTTTAGATGTGTTGGAAACACTTGAGTTCGTGCACGGAAAACACTTGAAAAAATTACATACATGAAGGTATCCATAAAAGACAGTGGAAAAGAATTGTAGAAGGATTTTGGGGGAGGATAAGATTCATCTGTAAAAGTTAATGTTATTGTGGTTGCTCATGCAGAGTAACAATTCATATGGAGTTCTGTGTTAAAGGATAAAAGGATTGTGCATCTTTGCCAGGCTGTTCTGTGTGGATGTTAATTGAGGCTGGAGTAGGTACCCTGCCTGATCACTAATGGAATGACAACATGTACTGATTAAAAAGAAGTCCAGTTCATGTGTCCTGAGTGGGAAGACAACAGTGAATAATTCTTTCCTATTTAATGATATTTTTGGTTTATGAACCTAAAGACTCCTTAAAGACTCTGATCTGGTTTCTGGGAGCCAGTGTTGCTTATACCATACAAGCCTGCAGGATTTTATGTAGGAAGACACAGCTGGTAAAGGAGGCACAAAATGCTATCCTTCTACTGTCCCCGTAAGGTCAACAAAAGTGGATGTCAAATAGCTCAGATGATTACTCATCCTGGGGAGCCATTACAGGCAGTAGCCAGGATTAGACTTTCAGCTGAGACACTGCTCCTGAGAACTGCAAAATGAGGGATTATTTAGGTGAAAAGATAATGACTGAAAAAGCATTATGAAACCTCAGAGTGGGAGGAAAAAGGCCAAGGCTAGAGAGACAGAACAGAATAGATTAAAGGAGAATTGTTGAGATAAAAATGACAGTGTAAAAAATATATACCTGTGTCACTAAAAACATATGGGATTATTAAAATGTAAGACCTTTCAGAAATCTAATTTATCCTTCCACTTTCTGGTTTTCAGATAACACTGTTCTCTATTTCCTTTTGAGAATGGCAGACTGTGTTTTTAATAACTGTTTAAATTTAAACTTTCTAATTTAAAAGAAAAAAACCATTTGGTTTGTGATGCTTTAAGGTATCTCATGATTGAGCTTCAAGTAATGATTGGAGCCTATATTGCATACCTCCAAATATAGGTCTTGTTATAAACTAGGTGCACAAGCTGATTTGAACAGCCAACATTTCCAAGTCTCTTTGCACTGTGAATGGAAAATGGGTTAGTGATCAGCCTATAAGGTTATTTAAGAAAGGAATTTTTAGAGTTATTTCTGTCATATTAAAAAAACCTATAAAAGGGAAGGAAAGGGGAAGGGAAAAGGAAAAGGGAGCCCCCAAGTAAAATAAACTTCCTTAGAGAATATGTGAAAAATAATAATTTACTCTAGCTAGCATTGATAAAAGAGTAAAGCCAACATAAATTAAGCAGTGAATAAAATATTCACCTTATCAAAATATGTGTTAGTAACCTTTTTCTCCTGCATTTGTGACTTTCCAAAAAAGAAATACCCTTAATGCATCAATTTTTGCTGTAAATTTGTTGCATCACACTTCCAAATTCATGTCAGTATTATAAGTTCCAGTTTCTGAGGTGCCCAGGGCAAACCAAATTCCAGTTCTCTGGAAATTACAGTTCTGAGTGTCCTCTGCCCAATATTTCTGAAGTGACCTCTATCATTGAGTAGCAGAGTAGGAAAGACCTTGCATTGGTACAATATCCAGTCATTTTGTGCTGCACTCAGGATTTCTCACCTTCATTCTCATCTTCTCTGCACTAGTGACGAAGGAGATCTGAACTACCTCAGACTGATTATCACTCATTTTAGGTGAATACTTTACAAGGTCATCCTAATCCTGCAGGAGGGGGTAAAGAATGAAAAAAAAAATACATGATCATGGTGAACATTGAAAAAGCTGCACTTTCCTTTTATTTTCCATGTCACAACAGATGGTTGTGAATGTTCATTCTTGCAGAATCAGTTTTCATGAATATTCCATATGGCTACATTGAACAATTACTGTTTACCTGTATTTATGCTCACTACTGAGAATCAGAACCGAATTACAGTGACATCCAGGAGCGAATTGCACAAGAGGCCAACATTTAGGAAATAAAAAGCATTCATTGTTCTGTGAAATACTTACTGGGTATCAGCATGAAGATTCATGGAAAAAATCACTTTAGCCTTGGATATGGTTTGTGGAGGACAATGCAACAGATTCCACAACAAAATAGGATTTTGTGAGCCATGAGGAATCTTTATAAGCCATAAAGGAGACAGCAAAGAGGCAATTTCATTGAAGTATGTAGACTTAATGGTATCTGTAATGTCAGTGTGAATTATTAGAGCAATTCTGGCCCTGATGGCAACGTGGAAGTTAGAGGGGGGGAGCATGAAAATAGCAATATTATAAGAATTAAAAAATAAAGAGTTGGAAGGCTTATCACTGAGTGTAATCATTGAAATGCTATTCTGTAGAAATGTTACTCCAGTTTGAAAACATCTGTTGGAGTCCAAAAGACATAGTTAGACCATTAAAGTCAGGAAAGAAAAGGTGCTTTGGGGTCAGACAAGCTGCTTTCAGAACAGGACTTTGATTCCTTCAAAAGACAGTGGGGGATTTAGCAGCCAAAGAAAAATTCTGCCAAATTTTCCTCCTTTTGAGGTCCTGGAAATGAGAACTTTATTTGAGTTCTTTACTGACAGGTCGGTGTATTAAGGTCAATATCTCTGATATTGAGGTCATAAGTAGTTTTTAAGTTACCTTTATAATTACATTTAGAAATTATGTAAAAGATGCAAAGTGAAGTGACCCGTTTAGGATCCAAGAGAAATCAATGTCAGTGCTGGCAATAGATACCATATTAGGGAATTAGCAGTTGTTGTCTTTAACTTAGGATATGGGTTTGAATCCAAAATTATAATGATAAATGCTTGGACTGTAGAATTAAGAAATAGTCTTCCAGCATTTATTCTTGGTTTTACCTCCATAAGAAAAGATCCGAAATAGGATGGTAAAGGATAGTGCTCTGGCAAGCTGTGCAACTGGTAGTGTCCAGATACGCACATTGCAGATTTTTCCTTCTTGAGACTTGGAAGAAATTTCCCTATGACAGCGAGCAGCTAGGACTTTTCTCATTGCCTGCAGAAGAATAAGCTTTGAGAAATTCATGTCCTGTCATTATATGAGCCTTGGTTCTGGATTTACTTTATGTTGTGTAGTCAATTTATTCCATCTTTACTGTGCATGAGCAGCATGCTAGGAAGCATTCATTACATGATACATACTCTATATAATAATGCACCAAGCAGCATGAGATTATTTTACTTCCTAATGAGTTGGAGGCTCTAGCCTTGTGATCAAACCTCTTTTAGGAGAGGAGATATCTGAGGATGTCTAGATTTTACACCTTTAACATTAACCTTAAGTTTTGTTTAACCAAGGAAGAGGGAAAGCCAAGAAAGTGATTTTTCAAGCTTCAAGTAAAGAATTAGAATGAGTGGAGAATTCTCAGGTTGGTCAAGGTGATGAGAAGACAATCACATTGTGCAGTCTGTTTTGAAAGCAATAATTGGCAGAAACATTTTGCTTGGGATCAGGGAGCTTGGAACAATAAGGGTTGTGTGCTCTTTTGAAGAC